GAAATCCGGACCGGCTCAGACCTCAATCACCACAAAGTCTAAAGACTTGCTCACACTCACCACCAGAGTTACAACCAGGGAAGACGAAGGGCGGCAACCAACAAACCCTCACACTCAGAACCCAGACCCCAGCCCAGAAGTCCCACCGGAGGAGTAAACAACCCATCACACTGCCAGACTAGAGTGAAGACCCCAATAGGAACCCCAAGGTCTCACCGGAGCATAGCCGGAGCTAAAGCTGAGAAGAAACCGGCACTCTCTCACTCTAGGTCTAGGGTAACAGAACGGGAGCTTCATCGGATAGAGAGAAGGAGGAGCGTCTGAAATAGGAGATTCCAGAAGAACCGAACAAATATATCAAAGGGCCACAAATGGAACGGGCTGGGTAGAATACAAATAGGGGGAGTGGGCTTGGTCGGGTAGACAACCCAAATTGGGCCAGGGCAATAAATAGGAGACCAACTCCTTAAATGAGGTGGATCAAAGGCAACTCAGGGATGGCCCAGTGAGGTGGACCAATAACAACTACATTATATTTTATATAGTCGAAATATAATTTTGTATAAAAAATTAAGTAATGCGAATTTTCCAACTTAAAGTTAGAAAGGAATGACAAAAATGAAATGGAAAAAAATTTCTTCTTCAATATTTTAATAATTAATCCATTGAAAGTGTAATTGCGAGAAAAATTGATGTTTGAGTCTTTCTTGATAGAAGTTAAATGATGAAATAAATTTGTGAATTTGATGATAAATGAGGATACATTAAGCTAATAATTTTCGAAAATAATAATGAAAGTATTTTTAGAGATTTTTTGCACGAACGACTTTAAATAGTAGTCTATTTTGACCTCCACGAAAAACTGCAACTCTCTAATTTAGCTTTTGAAATAATGAAAAGGTCAATTAATCATGAAGGACTAATATGTTGAATATGTAAGAATAGAAGTACGACTTTTCCCTACATCCGTATAGGGAGTAAAAGTTATACAAAAGTACTCCTAAAATTATCATTAAAGATGAAAAACCTTCGGACTTAAAAACTAACAAAGGCCAAAACTTTAGATTCACAGAAAAAAAATATTAACATTAGTTAGATATTTACGTTGGGAGCTTGAAATAAAATATGATTGAGGATGTTTTTAATTGCATTGTTTTCAATTTCAAACTTAAAGAAATTATATCAAGTTTAAATAGACTTAAGTGTGCAAAATTCCAATTTAAAATATTCCATGGAAATATTTTCCAACTTTGTTGAACTAACTAATTTAGTGCATGAGACACCAATGCCTTGGCCGTAAGAAACCACGATAGTTATAGAGGAGTCAATATCAATATCTAATATTATTTTTGACTCCCCAATTCAGGGAGCCTACTCAGAGAAACAATGGTCTCTAACTCCAGTGAAATAACACAGACTTGTTCAGGCTTACTCAGATGCATCAGATAACTTTTATCAATCAGAGGACTGTTTTTTCATAGACGACTTTTTGGGACATGCAACTGAAAGCGATCATCGCCCCCTTATCTCAATTCCGATAGAAATTAAGATATCAAAATTCAACATAGCGATATGCAGCAAATCCAAGTATGGCACCTCAGAAAACTGCATGTCAACAGAAAAATTGAACACGCAACTCAATATATATAGGAAATCTCAAAAGAATAAAAGACGACACAGCATGACGACTAGGTCTCAGTCTAGAGAATTTCCTTGGATCTATCCTTTAGGTTTTCTTTCTGCGTAATGTTTTATTTTTCTTTCTTTTGTTTCCTATTTGCATTGCAATGTTTGTGTCTCTTTTAATTTATAAAATTCCCTTTAAAAAATTGAGTGTTCCAATAATTAGATACTAAAGAAATTATCAAATCTTTTATAAAGTAGTCATATTCTATGATTTAGAATACTAGTTTTTGGTAGCACAATTCTAAATTTTTGGACTCACATAATTATCAGGTTTTACGTACTTGTATAATTTCGTTTCTCTCATTTTAAGTACAAGTTGGTAACACTGTCTATGACCCACATTGAGTTCAATTTATTTTAGTTCTACATGTACAATTTGTACTCCACGGTATGCTAGCACAGGAAAAATTCCAAATATGTGACTAGAAGATAAATAACTCCGACATGTTTAATATGAGTAATGAGTAATTATATGGTTCAAGGATTAAATACCCTTAATTAATACATCAAGATTAAATACCCTTAATTAATACCCTTGACAATTATTGTCATACATAAAGGCTTTCTCCGGGCAAATTATACTGTGGGATCGGTCCACCATCTGCATGCAGTGCCGATCCCACTTTAAGCAATTATTTTGCTTTTTCTTTCTTCTTGAAGCATGCATCGTTGTTCCTTTTTCTTTTGTTTCTTTATTTTTCTTTTCTTCGATCAATTCTTCTCCTTTTTCATCAAATTAAAATGCAAAAATCTAATTGCAATTTTACTTTTCTTTATATTCAACTTAAATAAATTATAATTGAATCTTTTTTTCATTCTTTATCAATACATAACAAAAAGTTCATCAATCTAAATAAAATAAGTATATTGAATTTCAAATTTATACACTATTTTTATTTCTGCAATATTTTTATATTCATACACTATCTTCTTTACCAAATTATTACAATATTTTATTAATCCACATAAAATAAGTATATTTTATTTCATAATCATGCATTTTTTCTACTTTTTTATCTTCAACTGAAATTTCAATAGAATATATATATATTTTGAAATAATTTTTATATTTCATATTCATAATTTTTTCCATAATATATTTCTTATGTTTGCAAAAAAAAAATCTTACCTCTTTGACAGTTTTTAGTTTATTTAAGACATTAAAAATGTCTATTTTGATTTAAATTTCATAAAAAGTGAAATTATATAATATTTTTCATATGCGTGAGTTAGGTTTATAGACAATTTTTGGGATTAATTTGATAGTATATGAATTTACATCTTCTTATAGGCGAGTTACATCTTCTTGTGCATGAGTTACATTTTTCTATGTGCGAGTTACATTTGGACTTGCCTCAACAAGTTACATTTTGCATACACCTAAGTTAGATTTTCCATCAACGCGTGTTACATTTTTCATAACACGAGTTACATCACAAAATAAACTCCAACTATTGAAACAAAAAAAAAACCAATTTTTGCAAACAAAAATGATTTTTTTGGCGAAAAAATGATTTTTTGGCAAAAACTTATTTTTCTTTGAATCATTTTGATTAACTATTTATGTAAATTAATTTGAGCAATTAGATTCCTCATTTTCATTGTTTACATTTCCTATACGCGAGTTACATTTAGACTTACCTTAACAAGTTACATTTTGCTTACACCTAAGTTAGATTTTCCATCAACGCGAGTTACGTTTTCCAGTTTAACCATTAACCAACAAAGGAAACTCTATCGAGCCGAAATTATCTAAATCATCGGTTTGACCAGCCACCAAAAAGAAGATCTAGTTGAACGCTTTCATTTTCCAAGAGCGAGGTGGTGGTTCAGGTGAGGGTAGGGGTGGACCGGTTCCGGTTCGGGCCTGGTTCAGGCATGGGCCCGGCCGGGCCTCTGTTCAAGAAGGGGAGGCCCGGAACCAGCCCGGGTAACCCCCGGGTCCGGGCCAGGCCGGGCCGGGCCGGTTCACCTTTTGAAGGGCCCGAGCCCGAACCGCCATCCCACCGGGCCGGTTGGCCCGAACCGAGCCTGGAACCGGTTCACCGGTCCGGGCCGGTTGGCCCGACCCGAGTCCACCCCTAGGTGAGGGCGAATAATTGAAGCCTCAAAACAACACAGCTGAAAAAGCTTTGCCAACCCTGAACAACGAAAACTCACCAGATTTATTACTCTGATGAGAAATCAACGGATCGCTAGGAAAATATACCACACGCTCACATGAAGCGGACAAAACTCTCAACCAAAGAAGACGCTAGACCAAAACCCTCGAAAATAGAAATTAAACAAGACTGAAAGCATAGAAGACAACATCACCGACTCACCGTCTTCCAAAGCTCTTTGTATTTGAAGAAGAGAAGACTTGATAGTGAGATCTCTCACGAGGTGGGAGATGGCTCCTTAGGATTTCCCCTAGGTCGATCAAGATTCTTATTTCAATAGTTTAAGCATCTTATTTCAATAGTTTTAAGAACTCACCATAAATATCCATCTTTAAATATTAGATCTTGAATATGTCCCAAGCAAAACATACAAACTCACATTTTCTTGTATCTATGGCTATTACAACTACAATAGTCAAAAGAATTACTCCCTCCGTCTCTTCAATTTTTTTTGTCCCACTAACCTTGCCACTTTTTCTTTTAAGTATAAAATTGGTGATCCAATTAATTTTCTCTCATTTGCACAAATCTCAACCACACAATGTTTACTTTATTAATCACTGTGCTGATAAAACTTGGACAAGGTTTTAGGAACAAAGAGAACACATTACTGAGAGGAAAAGTGGAAAGAGAAGTGGTACAAGATGAAATTTAGGGGATAATGGGATATGGGTATATTTGGTACCAGACATTCCATTTAAGGGCACTAGGGCAGCTTGAGACCAAGCATTCCATTTAAGGGCAACTTAAAGGAACATTGATATAGAAGTAGTTATTTACAAACAAATGAAAACAAAAGGTTAATATTCTAGTAACAAATAAAAAGACTAGAAGCTAAGCTCTCACACCTCACTCATCTCAACAACAAAAAAGCATACTCCCTCCGGTTCCTATTAAAGTTCTCAGTTTGACTTCACACAGATTAAGAAAATAAATTTGACTTTACTGTGGAGTGCACTGTTTGACACTGTTTGGACACTGTTTGGCACTGTTTGGTTTCCTACAATGGAAGTGTGAACTTAAATAAGGGACATCCCAAAAAGGAAAGTGAGAACTTTAATAGGAACCAGAGGGAGTATTAACAAAAACCAGAAGTTACCAAGGAGAACATAAATGAAAAAATTGGAGCAATTTTCACAGCAAAAGATGATACTATGATAGTACAATTAAGAATACGAAATGGAATAACTTGTAGCAAAATTTTGTAAATTTATCACGTACTCTATTTGATTGTATACAAAAGCTTACCACACTTATATAGCATTTTAATTTTCAAGCAGTTACATGATGTACACAAGTTAGTTAAAAACTTGAAACTTGCACTCCTTTACAGTAATGCTTCTAAAAACGACACTAAAAGCTCAGTTTATTTTGACCCCAACAGCAATGAAGTACGAGTACAGGCATACTCACACAACAATATCATCTCCACTTTTTTTGGAGAATGGAGGAATTGCAATGAATATTGTTGGAAGTCCACAAGAGTAGAGTACACAATCAGGAGTTGCTATAAACATTGCTATTCAGGCCTGACCATCAAGGTGAGCATCTGGATAAATGAAAAATGTACATTGGGTCCTAATAAAGTAAATCATGATGTGAGAAATTGCAATGTATATGTAAATGAGTAATCGCTATATGCAGCTCCACGCATTCCAAATCTTACCGATTGTAAAACCCACGACAACCGCAAGATCCAGCCCCACACTTTTCCAGCACAGTTAGTGCACATCTCCTGTGCCAAAACACAGGTATATGATGCCCACTTAAGTAAATGAATAATTGCTATATGCAGCACCGGTGTGTATTGCAAATCTTACCGACTGTTCTGTAAAACTCACTCAGGGAACAAGACCTAGTATCATACTTTTTCATCACTGCAGTGCACATTTTCCTGTGCCAAAAACACATGTGTATGACGCCCACTTAACTAAAGGTAAGAAAAGATGTAAAAAAATCATTTTCTGACAAGTATCTATTCATGCCCAAGAAAACCAATGTAATTTTCTGAAGTAAATGGAGATGACCGATTCAGAGATAAGGATAAGTAAAGTGAATTACCTATCCTTATCCAAGTGTGATGCATTAGACAATTACAAGACATTCAGTAATGTTATCATTCACGCAATATGCAATATGCAAGAATATAATCTCAGTGCTTGAAGACATCTAATTGGATGAGAGAGCAAAGTGGAGGGCAGGTATTCGTGTGGAGGAGTGATCTCTTATCATCTTTTCCCCCTCATCTTCTTTTTCTTTTTTTTTTCCATCATTTGCAATGGAGCCAAAGATTCACCATTTTTTTGGCTTGAGAATATGATGGAATAAAGCAAAATGACTCTTTATTCTTTGTTATGAAGCAGCATTCAGTCCATGCAATTTTGGACACAATTATCACTGTGGGTCATCCGAAAACAGTCTCCTTGTGTTTTAGTACAGGGGTGAGACTGTGTACATCCGACCCCCTATCACCCGTACGTGGGAGCCTTTGCGGCACTAGGGTAATGATGATGATGATATATATATATTCTTTTTATCCTTTTGATTTTATCACTTTTATGTATATATCAGTGATGTTAATCGCGGCGCTATCGCGCGCTATAGCGGAGGTGCGGAGCGGATGACCAGGCTGGCGCTACCAGACGACATGTAACGTCACGTTTGGGTGTAGCGGACTTAGCGGGCGCTAGAGCAGTGGTGCAAAGAAGGTAGTGGCGGCCGCTATAGCGGCGAGTTTTTAGCGCAGGATTTTTGGGCTTAATTTTTGCGTTAAATTTTTTAGAGCAGGTTTTCTTCTAGGTTTTTTTGCTTTAAATTTTTTAGCGTAGGTAGAAGGGGTAAACTGGACTTTTAAAACGAAATATGAACCGATTTAAAACCATTTACACGTACGTAAAAGCTCAAAACGGCTCCAGCTCTTGACAATACTCTGTTTGCTCTGCGATGGCTTCTTCTCCAAGAACGACACATGCTGCCCTCCTCTTCCTTCATTCTTCTCAGTAGTATCTTCTGTTGCAACATCTTCTTCTCCGACCTTTGCTGCAGACCTGCAGTGAGTCTTCTTTACTTATTCTTGTATGAAGCCTAGTCAGTCTACTGTCATGTTTAAGCCCACAGGAGAACACCTAGACCCAGCTTGGAAGTGGAACAGTTTGAATGATGCGAACGATGAGATAGATAGAGTTGGAAGAAAAAGAAGAAGAAGAATTTGATGAGGAGTGGTGAATGATGAATTCAAAGGGCTTGCAAGTCGGATCTAATTTTTTTGACTGTTAATATATCAAGGCTTAAACTCATAAACTAGAACCTTGTTTTTTATTCAATGTTTTGACTTAAAATTTTCCATCATTTGCAATGGAGCCAAAGATTCATTATTTTTTGGCTTGAGATTATGATGGAATAAAGCAAAATGGCTCACTAAACTGTCTGCGCTTCTTTGTTATGAAGAAGCAGTCAGTCCATGCTTGGACGGGATTTTCACTATGGGTCATCCAGAAACAGTCTCTCTGTGCTTTAGTACAGAGGTAAGACTGCGTACATCCGACCCCCTCTTACCCCACCATAGGTGGGAGCCTTTGCGGCACTGGGGTAAATGAAAATGAAAATGTTTTGACTTAAAATGTTTTAATCACTAATAACATCTTATGTTTTGCTAATGAAACTAAAGAGTATATCTAAGTAATTTAGGATTTATGAATGTTAAGATGTTTGAATTCAATATGTGTATGTAATGTACTTCCTCCGTTCCATAAAAGTTGCAACATTGGAATTTCTGCACTATTCACACACCTTACTTTGACTACGATTTTCTAATAATATATATAATAAAAATATTATGTAAAAAATATTCATAAAATTGTATTAATGTAAATTTCCAATATATTAACTTTTTTTAATGTTTACTAATACGTAAATAAATATAATTACATTCAAAGTTGCGCGTTGGCAAACGAGAAAGTCAAATTGTTGCAACTTTTATGGAACGGAGGATAGTATTATATATGCTTCTTGTAGTTACTTATCTATTATATTTGAAAGTAACCTAAATAGCGGTCATCCCGTTATTTAGGGGCTTCAAGTTGAGTTATCACTTCTAAAATTCAACATTTTACTATTCAATGATAGTTGTTTTTTACTCATTCTCAAATTTCCAAAATACTGTGACAATGACACAGTCTGGGGACCAAACTCCTAAGAAGCAAAGCAAAAAGAAAGTCTATAGGATTTTTCAAGGAAAATGTGGGAAGTGGGGAAGATGGAAGTATGGAACCCCCGGCGGGAGAGTGAATAGAGAACTCAGGATCAGATGAATGAGACAAGACTTTGATGTCCGCCATACCCTCTAGAGCTAGATCCTGAGGAAACAAGGAGGGCTGACATCTCAGCTGGTGAGCCCAGCAAGAAAGCGCATTCATACCCAAAAGGAGCTGGGCTCATCCTGGGCATTGGAGTTAGTTTATCTCTAAAAGCGTAATCAGGCTGCTTCAGAGGATCAACAGAGTACTGCACATTCTAGCCGATCACCCTAGATGAGGAGGGAGAATACAAACTGTCATCCTTCTCAGCAGATCACGCACAGCATAAATTTGGAAAAAAGCCAGATTACCATGAGAAGAGATCATGAGAGTGGTGTTCTCCTGGCCAGTCACGACGCTCTGGTGGAGGTCAATGAAACAGTGTCTGATTCACTTAGGCTTGTTAGAACCAAAAGGCCACTTCTAAATAGAATGATAACAAAGTTACATCCTCAGTCAATAATTTACATGCATTATTACATTAGTGATCTTCTAGATAAAATTGTACCTTCCCATCAGAAATCCCCATCTTAGCATGCCTTTTCTGGGCTTCAATGTAAATTTATATATCTCTACAACAAATACATCCAAGCCTTATTCCCAAAAGATTTTGGGGTAAGCTGACATGAAAAATGAAAGTCATTGCATTCACGTATAAGTTCACTAGGAAGGAAGTTTAATGTGAGCACTGCCTGAGATCTTATCTAATTACCTGCTTTTCAAGGTCCTGCCTGTTTACATCCTTCAACTGCAATAATAGCATTTCCCTGAAGAACAAAATGATAAAAAAAAATATTGCAACACAAACTCAAGCAACATGGTAAGGAAGTCCACTAGCAATGAAGAAAATGACCTCTCTTCTTCTAAACAGCTAAAATGTGTTATATGTTTACTTGAGATCAAAACAACACATCTTGGTTCCTGCACAAAAAAGAAAATAACAGATTAAAATCTTCATCTAGCCCTAAATGTATCTGGTGCATAAAAGAAGAGCATGAACAATGAAATAAACCAATGCACCTTTCCTCTACTTTAGAGTTTTTCTGCAGTTCTTATCTTTCATAAATTCTTGATTTCTCTTACGGTAACAAAACTTATTTACTGGGGAGATAGAAATAGCAAAAACAATTAGGACTTGCATGGAATGTTTTCAATTCTGGATTGTAAATAGATTGTTTTCAAAATAGAGCCTTAGCCAATGATTTAGATATTAAGATTTCCTGTTCACTCCTTGTCTCAGCTAGTAGAGTTTCATCATGCTGAAAGAATACATGGTTATAACCAAGCATGTGCTATGTGTTAACGGTGACACCTGCTCCATATGTTCTCTTGTGAGTGTCGTTTAATTTGATTATATTATCCTCATTAATGTTTTAGATATCATTCATTTCATTCATTTTCATTTACCCCAGTGCCGCAAAGGCTCCCACCTACGGTGGGGTAAGGGGGGGTCGGATGTACGCAGTCTTACCCCTGTACTAAAGCACAGAGAGACTGTTTCCGGATGACCCATAGTGAAAATCGTGTCCAAAATTGCATGGACTGACTGCTGCTCCATAACAAAGAAGCGCAGACAGTTTAGTGAGCCATTTTGCTTTATTCCATCATAATCTCAAGCCAAAAAAATGAATCTTTGGCTCCATTGCAAATGATGGAAATATGTTTCCTTCTCTATTCTTGAATAAAAATCCAAGTTCTTTTTGTTGTGAGACTTGACAGTTTGCTAAACACACTTGGACTAGTTATTCTAGATTAACATATAAACCATCCAAACTGTTTTCAATGATTCATAGTGATGTGTGGGGACCTTCACGCATAAACACTACTATAACAGGAAAGAGATGGTTTGTATCTTTTAAATATATGCAAACAAATTAAACAAGACCTGACTCCACCTGTCTTTGAGTCTCCTGTCTAGCAAGTAGCTCATCCATACCCATACTAGGCGTCCCAGCGATAGAGGAGACATGCCATGCTGTCGACACACCCATTGAGCACCACTAATTGCATACTCCATGAATGATGATAACCCCCTCATCTCTTCTAGCCCGATAATTCATTGAAATTTTTTCACAACTAGCAAGATCTGACATAAAACTAAAACAATTCATAATCATAGAAGCACTTTCCTAAGAAAATCAAGCACTCCATGGCTCCATCCAAAAAAATCATGTTTCGAAAGCACTTTTTTCCCCAAATTTTCTTTTTGTCCCCAACAAGAGTCCATTTTTATCAAATGAAGCTAATTTTTCATTTTATTTACCAAAAGATGGTCAAAAAAAATTACAAACAAGTTAATATAAATATGATATACTCCCTCCGTTCTTAAATATGAGTCCTCTTAGGCTTTGGCACGGGTTTTAAGAGGAAAATAATAGGGGTAGTGTAAAAGGTGTAGTGGGTTGTGGGTAAATGAAAAAGTAGGAAACAGAAAGGGGTAATGGTAATAAAAGTGGGGGTATAAAGGTATTTTGATTGAAAAAACTTACCAAAAAGGGAAAGAGGGGCAAATAATTAAAAACGTCCCAAAAAGGAATGCGAGACAGTTAATAAAGAACAGAGGGAGTATTTAGTTAAGACAACAAATAAATTTATAAATACAAATACAATCCAAGCAAAAAAGAATATCTTTATCTATTATTGCCATTAATGAGAACTGATACCGTACTTGTAGACTTACACAGGAGATCCTCACGTTTTACGCTTAATTCGTACTCTTTTGGCCTTGAACAAGCCACTGCATAATGTCATCATATGATTATCAGGTTCTATTCCCTTATCCATCATCTCATTCACGAGGCTGGCAGCCTTCTCTATACGTCCATGCCTATAAAATCCACACAGAAGGGCAGTGTATGTAACATTATCGGGTTCTACACCTCTATCAATCATCTCATTGAATAACTGAATAGCCTCGTCAAGGCTATTAGATTTGCAATGAGTATCGATCAAAGCGGTGTAGCATATTACATCAGCAGTCAACCCCATCTCCTTCATTTCACGCTGGAGAGCATGAACAGTTTTGTCAGTTTTGTTCCATCCCCCCGCATGGAAAGATGACCCTGTCCCTGTTAAACCCTTAGAATGACCATCAAGCATAACTGTGTAGGTGACCACATCTGGAGATATTCCCCTACTTATCATACTCTCAAAAAGATTGTGTGCCTCCTGTAAGCAGTTAACTTTACAATAACCATTCAACATCATGGTATAAATAATAACATCAGGAGTTAACCCTCTCCATAACATATTATCAAACATCAACCTAGCTTTCTTCATCTCCCCAGCACGACATAAAGCGGCTATTATATGGTTGTACATTGACATACACGGGGCATTGCCTGAAGAAGACAATACTATCTCAAATATACCTAGAGCCTGATTGTATTCACCTTCCACACAAAGGGCAGTCATCAGTTTCATGCCAGAACTCCTCCTTATAGACATACCTTGTTTGGACAGCACTAGAAAGAGCTTGTAAGCTTTACTTGTATTTCCCGACTGACAATATCCATTTATCATGGCAGCACAGTTTTCTATGGTTTTACACTCAAGATTATCAAAAAATAATTCAGCTTCCTCCACCATATGTCCCACGCAAAGACCCTCAATAATGACATTATTTGTAACAGTGGTTGGTGTTAAACCTTGTCCCTTCATATAATCCAGTAGGCTAAGTGTCTCTTGAACCAAACCATTTCTGGAAAGCCCGCCTAGAAGCACATTATATGTAACCACATCTGGTTCCGGTCCGTTTTCCTTAATTTCACTAAATAATGAAAATGCGTCAAATAATTGTCCGCTTCGGCAATAACCATTCATTAAAGTGCAGTAGTGCACAATGTCTGGTGTCATCCGCTTATCCTTCATCTCGTCTAACAACTTCAAAGCCTCTTTGAACTTTCCCAGCTTGGATAGTGCATCAATTGCAACATTATAAACAACCTCATCAAGAAAAATTCCAAGCTCCTTAAAAATGTTGAATTGTTCAACAACCTCAGATGTCATCCCGTTCTGGCACAAACACTGAAGAAGAGAGCTAACAATCACACAATTAGTTCTAATGCCCTTTTTAGTCATCTCATTATGGACATCCAAAGCATTAGCGATTTTCCCTGCCTTGCAATAAGCATGAATTAGCACCCCGTGAGTATAGTCATCAGGGACAAGACCTTGTTCTTCCATATCGAGTAAAAGAGACTGCGCTTCTGAAAACTTCCTTTCTTTGACTAATCCACGAACAACGACAGTAAAAGGAAATGCATTGAGGGGTACACCCGTCTTTTTCCATTCTTGTAACACTACATAAGCCAAAGATGAGTGGCCGTGCAAGCAAAGGCCGTTAAGATACGCGGAATAAGTGAATTCATTAGGAATTACACCCAATTCCTCCATTTCCCCAAAAATACTAGATGCTTCTTCCAAATTCCCGTTTTGACAAAGGGCTTTAATCACAATTCCGTACGTGTAAACGTTTGGGTTAAACCCAAGCCTCTTCAATTGCTTAAAAACAGCCACAGCCATATCCACTTTCCCAAACTCAACAAGTCTGTTCATCAAAAAATTACAAGACAGTAATCGTGGACTAAAACCACTTCGCCTAGTAAAAATGATATTAATGGCCTCATCAAACATGCCCAAACTCACATAAGCCTTGACCAGTGCATCTAGGGTTCGAATTATAGAATCAGGGCTCTCACCATAGAGATCTTCCATCAATGCCTCAAGCAATTCTGCCATATCGAAACCCAAACTGTCATTATCTGCTTTTATCACCTCCAACAATATAGAATCTAATCTCATATCCATACCCCAATGACAAAGTATATGAATGATTGCCACGAAGGTATCAACGTTGCACTTCAACCCACGCTCCTTCATTTTCCGGAAGTATGATAATGCAGAAATTGGTTTGTTTCTTAGTTTGTAAAGCATTTCTGCAGCCCCACACGAGCTTACTTCAGAACAATCTTGGGCTAAATCAGAAGTGGTGAAATTACTGTTTGAATTTTCTCCATCAGAACTAGAATAATCTGAAATATAGCTCAGCTGTGCAAGTGCAGAGAATGGTTTCACTCGGATTGAATTAACACTTCTGAAAATTTTTCTCTTCCAAACAGACCTCATTGCCCGCAGTGGCAGATCTAGCACACCTGCATTTTAAGTGTTCAGAATTACTTTACAATAAAAATTAAGAACAATGATATTATGTTATGCAAGTCATGCAATAATTCTACAATTGATTTTTTGTCAATAAAACTACTACCTCCGTCCCATTAGAAGGTTCTCGTCCACTATTCACATGGTCAACTTAAATCATTTTTAATCTTTTACTTCATAAATCAATTTTTTATCAAATTTACATTTTTTTATCAGGCTTTGTAGCGGCTTTAATGTAGTTTCTGAATATGTAAATTTTATTTACTAAAAATAATCAGAGTGTGAACAGAGATTAAGTTGCTTTATCGTCAATCAAGCATCGTAAACCGCCAACGGGAACCTTCTAGCGGGACGGAGGGAGTAGTATATTGAGTAAACAACAACGCATAATATAATTATATACTCAGTATTAATCAAATATCATAAATCACTACAATTGTTCTATTATATATTGCTATATGCCAAACCTGCTTAAATAAATACACTGATATTAAATAATGAATTTCACATATTAAGTAGACTTATCTTCAACAATTCAACAAATCATTGCAATTATCAGGCTTGTCATGGCGTCGCCTAGGCGTAGCCTAGTCGCCGACTAGGCGTCCTGGCGCTAGGGACAGCTCGCCGGAGTTACTCGCCTCGCCGGAAGAAGAATAGGCGTGCCAGGCGTCGTCCAGTCGTCGTCCAGGCGTGATGAAGGCGACAAGTCTTCTACTTCTTCCCAAGTCGAACAGAACCTGCCCGCAAAGCGCAAGCCCATTGTACCCAGAAATCCAGAATCCCAGATGCGATCATGCGAATCAAAATAGAATAATAGATTTTAGGAAACTAATTTTAGGAAACTAATTTGATTAATTAACTATAAAGCCCAGACTCCTTAAGTATTAAACTTACGAAATTATAAGAAGCGGATTAGCGGACTTCCCACTTCCCAGAAATCCATAAGCAGACGAAACACTCCAGGAAGAAGAGGTCTCGGCCGTCTCGCAGTCTCGCCCTCTCTGCCCTGTCCTTGGCTGAAGCAGACGACTTCTCGATTTCCCAGGTTCCAACTTTCCCAGGTTCAGCTCTCCGCCTCTCTACAGTCTCTAGTCGCTTACTCGCTTCTCGATTTCTCTTCTCTTAGAGAGTCAGAGAGTAAGTCGTATATAATACGAAGTATATAATAAAGTTTTTTATTATTTTAAATAAAGTTTTATAGTTATAACTTATATACAGTTATACTTATACAGTTATACTCGTATATAATTGTATATATATCAAATTGCAGATATATGTTCTATGCATTATCAATACATATTATTGTTTATATTATACACATATAGTATTCTTACTTATTAATCAATTTTATACATATATAATCAATACATAATTACATAGTTATACACTTATACGCATATAATAAATTATATATTTTATTTGCATACATGTGTTATTGTTTAATATTCATATTTTCAGAGAATTATTAGTGAATGGGTTAAGTTTTTTAAATTTTAGGATTATTTATTATAATTTATAATTTATACAATGTATATTGATTTATTATTAATTTTATATTGGTTGGGTGTATTACTGTATTGTTAAGTTTTCATTATTTTAAAGTTTAAACTAATTTTGTATACATATTAGTTATGGCGGACAATGAAATTATAAAATTATAATTTTGTATACTAATTTTGTATACATAATATAAAATTATAAATATATAATACACATATAGGCGACTAGTCGCCTAATTGTCGCCTAGGCGGCCGCCTTGTTGCCTAGGCGATATGGCGGTCAGCTGGCGCCGCGACTCGACTTACCGCCGTGACAAGTATGGCAATTATACAAATAAATTAAGCAAACAACCATACAAATCTTCATAAAACAACAAACTGTAATACGGATCAAGTATCTTGGCATCTAAAATAGATGGACTAATATATTGAGGTGGTTTGAAAGAGCACTCAAATTAAGCATCACTCATACTCATACTCATTTCTCCTTTAATTCCTTATTTCCTTCCTCTCCTTTTAATGAAAATTATTTAAGCATAAATAGCTAAAAGTGCCGACCTTTAATTCAATAATTTGTATAGAATCAAAGATTCACGAAACGAAAATCCACTACCCACATCATCATCGTCATCATCATCAATGACATGAATCATCAACATTACCCCAGTGCCACAAAGGCTCCCACCTACGGTGGGGTAAGGGGGTTGGATGTACGCAGTCTTACCCCTGTACTAAAGCACAAAGAGACTGTTTCCGAATGACCCATAGTGAAAATCCCATCGAAAATTGCATAGACTGACTGTTACTTCATAACAAAGAAGCGCAGACAGATTAGTGAGCCATTTAGGCTCAATCTGGATTCTCAATTAACTCAATCAACCAAAAGGCAATTAGGCAAGCAATGGGAATTGGGAGTGATACAATTTCCAAATTAGGCTTAAAATAAATCCAGTCGTAATTGCTAAATAAGGCAAGCCTGTGAGAATGGACTAACATGGAGTTCAAGAGATCGGGATGCTAGAGCGAGGTCTGGAGGCTAGCCACCGGAGCGAGTGAGCGAGGTTGCTAGGATAGCAGGACACAGGACCCGATATCGAACTTCGGAGCCTCGGAGGTCTAAAATTAACAGCGAGTGGAGACGCTGCAATAGCCAACAATGCGAAGAGTCGAAGACAATGACACTATGACAGGGACTTGTCGCTGGCGTTTGGTGAGGTGGAGGAGCAAACTGGGAGCGGCTAGGTTTGTAAACTAAATGACTCAAGTTGTTCCTTGTTATTTTTCAAGCCCCAACAACCTCAGTGAGTCACGTTGTTCGAAAAAAAGTTTATTTTCAAATAAAAATGTGTAGGTGATGGAACTAAATCCACATGTTATCAGTGGGATAACAGGATGCCTGAATTTTATAAGTAATAATCTAGTGATAGGAGATGACGTGATCGAATTATACAATTCGGCAAACTGTAAACTGCTTACCAAGAAATGCAGCGATGGCCCTTCATGGATCCTCCATCCTTCAATATCCTTCCTAACTTCTTGTTTCATAACCTTGACTATTGTAAAATTCAGGACAACTACATATTCAAGAACAACACACAATAAGTCATCAATAAACCCTACTTTTTAATTCATTAATCCAAGCACACAAGCCTAACCAAAATAACAGATGGTTTCACTATTGAATTGCTAAGCAGTGAGGGTCTTTTTTAGGGCTCAGTTATTAAGAATCGAGGTTCTATATTTAAAGTTTAAATAATTTTGGACTAACCAAAAGCTTGTTATAGTGAAATTCTTGATATTTTTCCCATCCCTTTCAATTTCTTAGAAATGTCAATTTTAGAGTTAGATTAAATTTTCAATTTTTTCTGGGATATTTTTTCTATTTTAAGGTTAAAAGATGTTATTATTCCAACCATCTAATTAAAGAGTACTAGGAAATATAACTGGATGAACTATCAAGTACTCCCTCCATCCCGCTATGATTGTCCCATCTTTTGTTTTCGATTCGTCCAACTAAGATTTTCCCATACTAAATCGGTAAAGTTTGTGTGATTCTAAATCATTCTTACTTTATTCTTACTTTATCAATTCAATACCAACCACATAAATCCACTTTTTTAATAACTGCACCACCTCCTCATGTCCCCAATGTTAGTGGGACAAAGGTAGTATATTTTTCCAATTTTTACTAACATCTAATGGTGTATCTATCGTGGTTCAACCTAATATAAAATGACAGCAAACAATTATAAATAACATCAATAAAGACAGAGTCTTCAAATATTTTTCCATCATTTGCAATGGAGCCAAAGACTCACTATTTTTTGGCTTGGGAATATGATGAAATAAAGCAAAACGGCTCACTAAATTGTCTCCGCTTCTTTGTTAGGAAGTAGCAGTCAGTCCATCCAATTTTCGATGCAATTTTCACTATGGGTCATCCGCAAACAGTCTCTCTATGCTTTAGTGCAGGGGTAACACTGCGTACATTCAATCCCCTACCCACCGTAGGTGGGAGCCTTTGCGGCACTGGGGTAATGATGATGATGAATTTTCATCAAATAGTGTTGAGTTTTGCTCAGCTCTCAAGAGTAAAGATGATAAGAAAGTACACTTTATGTGCTTCCAAAGGTGATGCTTTTGTATGGTATGCAATAATGTAAAAAGATATACGTGAAGAAGCTAACTTTAGAATGAGACTATCTAAATTGTAAGTTATGATAATTCAAACCCATAAATAAGCCTATAAAATCGTGAATGGTGGAACAAGACTATTAAGATACCCTTTTAGAATGTTTAAAGGGCTTAAACGACTATTTAAATTCGTCTAGAGACTGTAGACCAGTATAATAGAAAACCTTAGAGCAGATCACTACATAAATCTATTACTGGATCTCTTCACTGTGCAAAAACTATTCAGTTTCCATTGTAAAATGGCCGAACCAATGATCATATGACTTTGGAAAAAGCAAACACAGTGGCTAAGGGTAAGACACATGAACTCTAAGAGAGTGTAGTCATATGACTAAATAATCTCACTGTTAGATATTGTCTTATATAGTGATATCCATTACACTTCAGTGTTTCATGAAGCACAATAATTTAACAATTCAAAACCACCTTGACAATCAGCAATGTTTAATCATATAGATTAGTAACTCAGAACTCAATCGCAGAATATAAGTTGCGCATTAATAAAATAATGAGACAAAGTGTATTTACCTTCCGGATAGAAGCTTTTTTGTCAAAGTTTCCATATTCACACCAGCCTAAAGATAGTTTAGTACAGAAACTATGAGTTCCCAGTGAAATAGAGAAAAAAGAAATATGAGAAGCTAGATAATGGAGATCTGAGAAGTGGGATATTAAGGGTCTGTTTGCAATAGCATGAAAAAAGCGCTTCTCGGCTTTTGGCATAAAAAAGCAAAAATTAATGTTTTCAAGTGACGACTTCTACTTAAAAAAGCGTTTCTCGGCTTTTGGGTGAAAATTGCTTTTTACTTTTTCTATTACACAAAAAGCACTTATTTTACCAAACACTACCAACTTTTACTTTTCAAAATCACTTTTTTCTCAAACACTATCAACTTTTACTACTAATCACTTTTTCTAAAATCACTTCAAAAAGTGATTTTTTTAAGCAAAAACATTTGCAAACACTCCCTAAATCTTCTCTAATAGTGTAGGACAAAGTAGACATTAATCCCACAGTCCCTCACAAGTGAAGATCCACATGGGTTGTTCATTGAGGAGCTCACTTGGTAAACGAAATGAGAAACCACAGTGGTAACCTTTTCAGAAAGGCATAAACTAACGTGTTCAAAACATACATGCATGTGTTTAGAGTTCAAATGTATATGTATTCATAACCATTCACGATTATTATAGTACCATCCAAGTGAGTGCACTAACAATCAAATCTCTAGCACTTGAAAACTACAGAAATTGATTTTTATCTATTACAGACATCGCAACTACTGGTTACACTAAACTACACACGGTATTTCTCAAGTCTAAAGTTGTAGATACAGTTATTTAATAGTTTAAAAAAGATGTATAAATGACGGGCAAGTTCACATTTTAAAATTAGTTTAAAATATTGTTAAACTTAGCAAATAAAACATTAGCTGGGCACGACGTTCTTTGACCTTATCAAATTCAACAATGACCAACTCAACATCTATTTTGTTGGCATGTTCTTTTTGAATAAAGATGTATAAATGACGGGCAAGTTCACATTATTAATACTACGTATTAATATGATGTTAAAAAATTTACAATCCCTAGTGTTCAATTCACAAATGGAATCACAATAATTCACCTATAACATTTTCAAAAATCAACAAATCATCCCACAAATTAGTAAAATATTTAAATTACTTAAAAAAACATTACAATACTTACCCGACTCCCTAGTGCCCAGTGTCGAGTCTGAAAGAGAGGCAGAAAGACTGCCGACTGGCAATGGAGGGCAGGAAGGCAGGAGGCTGCAAAGCAGGGCACAGCAGGCGACTGCCGGGAATGGGAGTCTTGGGATGTGGGCGACGCGGTGAGCAGTTCAGAGAGTGGCGGTAGGCTCTGGCTCGGTGTCTTGCCGCTTGCGCGCTACCGGGAGTGTGAAGAACCAAAGAAGCAGAAGGTTCCTGGGTTTGGGAATTCGGGTACGCAACGGGCAAGATTATTTTTGGACTGGGACTGACATTAACTTCTTTCTAATACTCCGTATATATTACAAAGAAAATTGGCCTTGGACCAGGCCCCATCCCTCCGCACCTGGCGGAGACGCTGCAATAGCGAACAGTGCGAAGGCAGCTACGGGGACTTGCCACTGGCGTCTTGCGAGCGGCCAGGGCTGCAGGATTGTTCTGCTGCTAAGTGAAAGTTGAGGTGTAAAGGAAATTACAATATTATTAAATGATCAAAACGACATCTTTTTTAAAGTCCCGGCAGGGGCAGACTCACCCTTGTGGCCTTGTTCATTTGAACCCTCTAAGTTTTAAACGCTCAAAACGACATCCTTTATTCTTAGAAAAAACCCTTCTTTTTTGAACTGCTCACCGCCTCGGCTGGCGTCCGCCACAGCCCAAGACTCCCATTCCGGCCAGTCATTTGCTGTGCCCTGCTCCACAGTTTTTTGCCCTCCATTGCAAGTCGGCAATCTCTCTGCCTCTCTCTCAGACTCGGCACTGGGGAGTCCGGCAAGTTTTGTAAATTTCTCTACTGTGCTAAGGTGCACAACTTACACTACATTTCTTTGGGAGACAACTTTATTTGGAAGAATTCCTTTGCTTTTATATAGAAGATAGATAGATTGATAGATTTGGGGTTTTCCTTTTATTGCAGAAAGTAATAACTGATGTAAAGATAACCATAGATGCTGCTTAGACGCATGTACTATATCTTACCTTCCCTATCCAAACCCTCATTACTCTTCTCTCCTCATTCCAAAACCTTGGCTCATATTCCCCTAAAGCTTGGCAATGCTGAAGCCTGGCAGGCAATTCAATCCTCCTTGAACAGACCGAACCATTTCTCTACGGTTTCACCTCTTATCCACGAAGAAGATACAATAACCCCTACCAGAAAGATGACTAAAAAGGCTCGTCGTGAAGCTCCTGAAAATGTTCTTCAGTTTAAACTACACCGTTGCTCTAAAATTGGTGACTTGAAAGAAGCTCTGCGCCTTTATCACGAAGCCAAGTTGAATGGAGTTGTATTAAATGTACACCATTATAATTCTTTGCTCTATTTGTGTTCGGTTTGGAGTTCTAAAGATGATGCAGAATCCAAAGAGTTCGGCATTCAGGAGGGGGTTGATATTTTTAGGATAATGGGGTTGAAGAACATTCTTCCAAACGAGGGTACGTTCACTAATGTTGCAAGGTTAGCTGCAGCTAAGGAAGACCCTGTTTTGGCTTTTGATTTGGTAAAACAAATGAAGGATTCTTGTATTCCTCCTAAGCTGAGGTCGTATGGACCAGCCTTGTTTGGCTTTTGCAAGAAAGGAATGCCAGATGAGGCTTATGAAGTCGATTGCCATATGCTAGAATCAGGGTTAGTCCCAGAAGAGGAAGAGCTTTCTGCTCTATTAAAGGTGAGTTGTCAGTCACATCGCGTTGAGAAAGTATATGAATTGATGCATAGGTTAAGGGCGTCTGTTAGGCAAGTGTCAGAAAACACTGCTATCATTGTGGAAGATTGGTTTAGGTCAGAAACTGCTGCAGGGGTTGGGATAGAGAAGTGGAATGTGGAGAACGTGAAAAAAGGTGTGTTGAAGGGTGGGGGTGGGTGGCACGGGCAAGGTTGGTTGGGTAAGGGAGAATGGGAAGTTGTGAGAACAGAAATGGGTGAGAGAGGTGTGTGCCATTCATGTAGAGAAAAGCTTGTAAGCATTGATATCGATTTGATCGAGACTGAGAATTTCGCTAATTCATTGGCAAAGTTGGCTTCTGAAAGGGAGGCCAAAAATTCATTTTATCACTTTCAGGTATGGCTAATTGACTAGTTGTTTTTCATAGAAGAACTCACTTTCACTTGTCTTCTGTTGAAGTTTATCATTATGGTTTACTGTATATGCACTTCTGGTGGTTTCTATCTTAAACTTAATTATTAGGGTTCTAGGTATTTAGATGTTTACATTTTTATCCCATTAGAATTGTACAACATTTTGTTGGAAAATTGTGATGACATTACATAAAAAATATCACCCTAGTGCACATTGGCATCCCCACAAAGCAAGGGTCCCGGGAAGGTTCCTACCACAAGGGTGTGGGTAAGGAGAAAGCTTTCCCTTGTCATTTTGTCAAGAGGTTGCTCCCAAGACTTGAACCTGTGACCTCTTGGTCAATGTGATTAAATTACATATGCAGACTTTTTCTTCTTGTATGGATGAGAATGAAAAGTTCAAACACTAACAAAATGGAGAGCGTTACAATCCCTGCATCCTGTTAAATGCGGGTAACTGTTCATCCCTTTTCCCTCCCACATCACATATGCTCCCGATCTAGGTCAATCATGTATCTGTTTAATGCGGTGCTTGATGTTTTTTTTTGAAGGATTAAAATGTAATAGCAATATAGTCTTACCTACCATTCTTATAATTGATTTTCTTGTTAAACACACCTGCAATACCAAAAAATATTGGTCGATAATGACTTTGCTTTCTAGACAATAGAGTGAATTTTCATCATTGATATGTCATGATTGAGTTTTCCTGCATGAAACACCACAGAAAAACTTAATCTGTAGTATAAGAACTACTTTTCATTCAGGAGTGGCTTAGGAGGAATGGTCCATTTGATGCAGTGGTAGATGGTGCAAATGTTGGCCTCACTAATAACCGAGACTTCAGTTTTTTACAGGTAGAGAACAATTGTTTTTCACACTTCTTTTTTCTTCGTATCACCCCTCTTTCCTATCCATGGGATCAAGGATTCAAGGGTATGTTTGGACCCCGGAATACAGGTATAGGGTAAACAAATGCCGAGGAATTAATTTTCTTATACTTGGTTTTATCTTGGAAAATGCTAAGAAAAATTATACTCCATCCATCCCGTTTTGTTTGCCCTATCATTCCGTTTCAGGACTCCCTAAATGTTTGTCTCATACTGAATTTACCCATATTTTGTGGCTCACAATCATTCTTTTACAAATTCAAAACCAACCACAAATTCCTATTTTACTTGCTATTTGTGCCAAACTCCATCCCAAACTTAATGAGATGAAGCTAGCATATTTTTAGGTTTTCTAAAGCTCTGCATATATTTAGATTTATAGTCTTTTTATGGTAGACAGAATAAAATGAGTATCAACGAATATCCAAGATGAACTTATTGAGTGCCAAACTCCTTCACATGTTCTCTTTCTAATGCCCTCTATGTTTTTCTTGCTTTTTTTATTTCCCTGGCATTTCCCGGGTTCTTCAGACCCCAAGAGTTCCCTGGGATGGGATGCAGTTAGATATTCAAAAATGGGTAAAAAAAATTGATATACAGACCCATCCTAGAATTTGGATGGCAATAAGATTTTCCACTTAACTATTGTGCCCTTTTTTCATTAGCTCAAATCTGTTGTCAATGAGTTACATAAAAGGAGCAAATCAAAGAAGCTGCCACTTGTTATATTGCATACAAGTCGTGTAACGGGAGGACCTGCTGTGCATCCTAGGAACAAGAAGTTATTGGAAAGCTGGAGAAGTGCTGGTGCTCTTTATGCCACTCCGCAGGGTTCATGTGATGATTGGTAATATTCTTTAATTAAGCTTTTATCTCTCTATACTTTTTCCGATATATGTTTTCTATTGAATTCTCCTATAAATATGCATGTGTCTGAGTTTGTTCTTTACTAGACATTCACAACCGTGAACAATTTTCGTCCATATCATCATCATTCAATATTTAGAAAATAATTAATGCATAATGTGACCTTTTTTTACAAAGTACTAGTTCATAGACTTCAACTCTTAAGAACAAGAAAATTTGAAACATTACTTGCTTTTTCAGTTTTCTACAGGAGTAAATGATATAGCTCGCACTAGTGTGAGCTATATCATTTACCCTTGCAAAAAAGAAAGTCATGTATCAAATTTAACTATCTCAATCAAAGCGTCCTATAACTTGTGGAATAATGTGTAGTACACATGGAAAACTAAAAAAATCTATAAATATGATTTTTTGGCTTCCAAGTTTCAACAGTTGTTTATTGCCAAAAATAGAAAGTTATCACTTGACCAAACAAGACTCTATTTTGGGACTTGGGGAGTATATCTAAACTTGAAATAAACTTAATCAGAATGTATCAAGTATGAGTATTTAAAATGCAGGTGATTGTGTGATTTTGGAAACATGTTAATAATGAATTCTTCTAGTGGTGGGCAGCTTTGTGATTACAATTACAGGTCCATTATCTGTGAATATGATTTGAAAACCAACAGCATCACTAGAAATACTTCTACAGGTATTGGTTATATGCTGCGGTGAGTTGCAAGTGTTTGCTGGTCTCTAATGATGAGATGAGGGATCACATATTCCAGCTGTTGGGGAATGGCTTTGTCCCCAGATGGAAGGAAAAACACCAGGTACCATCTCTTGATATTGTTGAGTCAGTAGAGAGCTTTGGGGGGGAAGACTTTCAAGGGATTAATCTATATCATAAGATATACTCCATCTGGCTCTATAAAGAGAGTCCTTCTTCAAGTGATTCTTTTACTTTTATCCCAAAAGAAGAGTACAGTTCAAAAAATGAACTTCATTTTTAAGTAAAACTCCTGTAAAGCCAAGTGGAATACATTTATAGTCAACCATTGCAAACAATCTTAGAAATAAGTTTTAGGTGTATAGATGACCGGTCACAAGTTGTAAAAGTATATATGTTGATGCAATGGACTAAAAATAAATCTTGTACCTTACTCATACATGTTTTTTCTTTAGCACAGATGGAATAGAATGTTCATAAGATGAATAAAGGATGATGAAAATTTGAGATGTTATACGATCACCTATTATGGTCAGATGCGGACACCAAATATATCTTAAGATAGACTTTGCCCTCCATAACCCTACCCATTCAAAACCCTCCACCAAAAGGAACCTTAGGGTCTGTTTGGACTTTGGATAGATGTTTTTTTAGGGAGGGAGTTGAAGGCTTTGGAAGATTTGTTTTGAGAGGAATGCTTAGTGTCAATCTTGATATATATTTTGTACTAATTATAAGGTTGATTTGTAATTGTATAAAACTTCATACTTGGTCTCTATCTTGAAATATGTTAGAATTTGAGCGTTTTGTACAAATTATAAGGTTAACTTAATGGGAAATTTACCAACATATGACCAAAACATGGGGAGATTCCCAATATATGACTAGTAATGTGAAAGTGATAAAACGTATGAGTTGTTATAGGACAAGAAATGGAAAAACGGAACATGCCACGTATTACTATGCATGACATGCAACATTATAATAGGAAATATATCTTCCAAGTAATATGTAATTGTATAACACTTCATTCACCTTTTTTTATTTTTAGAATTATACTTATCTAGATGTAAATTAATCCGTCCAAATCTTTCTATTGAAACAGACTATTAGGGGGCTCGAATTGGATTAGCATCAAATGATATTCTTGCAGTAGTGTAAAAGGTGTTAGTTTGTGAAATGTAATCGTATCTATTTTTAAAATGCCAGATCCGGATGACTGCATCTAGGGAACAGGGACTTAAGCTACACATGCCTCCTCCGTATTCAATTGTTATTCAAGTGAGTTATATACCCAATTAAAACTAATAGTTGCTTATTCTTTGATTTAAAAAGATATTTCCGTCCCTACTTTGGTGATAAACGGTAATGCAATTCCAGGAGTCGGAGCAGGGAAATTGGCATGTACCAACTGTAACAGGTGATGACCTTGAAACGCCCCGCCAGTGGCTATGCGCTACCCGGAAGAGGAGAAAGGCACTGCATAATCTCTTTTAGTAAGCATGTGTTTTTTCAAGTTCATCACCTTCAAGAAAGAGATTAGAATGAAATATTTTTTTGACAAATTTACCCTCTTAAATCTTTATTGTTAAAATTACCAGGCATTTTGTGGTTGTGTAAATTCATACTCCGTATAAAATTTGTTGCGGTGTGAAAACAAGTACATTGTCTTTTATAAGGTTGACACAAAATCCAATAAATTTTGGAATTTTGGTTTGTCATTCCATATTGCAAAATTTGTTTATGCCTAAAGAAGGATCTGACCATACATGATTAGTTGTTGAAGTTGAACTCGAGCCTTACCAGAGCCCTGATACATTTTTAAGTTTAGGAGCTAGCAGCACTCAATGAAATGAAAGGAGTTCTAAAGGAGTGTTTGCAAACGTTTAAAAAGCACTTTTGCTGCTTTTAGCTTTGAAAAAGCTAAAAATGTTGTTGCATTGACAAGCTTTTGCTTAGATTCAAGTGTTTTTAAGCCAAAAGTTGAAATGTGACTCTTGCATGCTTTTATGTGTTTCTTAGTTTTTTAGTAAATAAATAGTTCAAACTTTTAGGATAGGTATTTGGTAAACATATCCCATAAACCCCAAAATACCCATTCCAATTAGTTTTTTGTCCATATGAAAATCCCAGATGTGCCTCACAAATTGGTGTTGCAGATGCTTGACTTGTGGCGACCATCCGTACGCCGGCGACATGCTACCTACCACCATCCTTGAAGTGGGGATCTGCCGCCATCCTCATGTGGCCACCCACCAAGGGCCTCATCTTAAGCAGTAGGCTACAGCTAGTAGCCTAGACCATGCGGCAGTGGCCAGTGGGGTAGAATCCCATCCATTTATCTCTTCCGTTATTCATTTTAACTTGGGGGTATTTTTGTATTTTAACAATATATTACATCAAAAATCATTTTTTTATCACACTGTTACTTTTTAATTAAAATCGTTTTTATTTTCAAACACTAACAACTTTTACTACCAAACACTTTTTCAATAATCTCTTACAACATCCAAGCCTTAGTCCCAAAAGATATTGGGGTCGGCTTTTTCAATAATCTCTTAAAAGTTAAAAATCAAAACTCCCAGAGTCGATGATAAAAGTTTGGGACTATGTCAACTTGAGGCGCTGAATGACTATGATGAATCCTTTTGGGGCGACTTGTTAGAGAAAGACTGTCAAAAGAAAGGACTAGAAATTAGAAATCACTTTTATTTTTAAACACTAACAAATATTTACAAGGGATGAGTACAAAAAGGTGCTTATAGTTGTGCACATTTTAAGGTTCATTTTTTTCACAGCTTGGAGAATGTGCTTTCAATTTGAGGGTATATGTTCTAAACGTCGTAAAAAGGAAGGCGATGTTGATGTTTAAAAATGTGACATGTCACCTTGTTTCTGGTGGAGTTTAGACGTTGGTCCTACTTTGTGAAAAAATAAATCCCATGCCCTATTTGAAAATTCGTACAATCACGACTTTTTTGTAGTTATCTTTTTTTTGTAGTTACCCCTACTTACAATCAAGCTTATTTTCTATGATAACTAAAATCAATTATTTATTGCGCAAGTACATACGAACATCACTTTTGTTGCTCATTAAATACATAAGCACTTTAATTAGTTGGACATTTGTATAAATCCACAACAACAACATTACCCCAATGCTGCAAAGGCTTCCATCTACGATCAACTACATTCAAAAGGTATTGGGGTCGGTGAATCTTGTTTAGACAAATTTAGGAAAAACTAAAAATAATTATTTATTTATTATTGAAATAAAGATGATTTACAAAAATGTGATTAGTGATTATAGTAGTAATTACATCATAGTAATGACTTCATCATCATCATTACCCCAGTGGTGCAAAGTAGGGGTGGACCAGTTCCGGTTCGGGCCCGATTCGGGCTTGGGCCCGGCCGGGCCTCGGTTCATGAAAGGGGAGGCCCGAAACTGGCTCGGGTAATCCCCAGGTCCGGGTCGGGCCTCGGTTCATGTAATTTTTTTTTTGCTTTTCCTAATTAACCCCCAACCCTCCCCCCTCACCCCCAAACCACCTCAAATGGCCCATCATACCCAGCCCAACCAAAAAACTTAAAAAAAAATTTAAAAAAAAAAGAAAAAAAAATAAATTGGCCCGGACCGGGCCCGAACTGGCCGGGCCGGTTCACTATTTAGCAGGCCCGGGCCCGAACCGCCTACCTCACCAGGCCGGGTGGCCCGAACCGGGCACCAACCGGTTCACTGGGCCGGTCCGAGCCCGCACAGTAGCGGGCCGGTCCGGTTCTGGGCCGGTTGGCCCGGTCCGAGTCCACTCCTAGCGCAAAGGCTCCTCCCACCTACGGTGACCTACGATGGGGTAAGAGGAGGTCGGATGTACGCAGTCTTACCTCCTGTACTAAAACACAAAAAGACTATTTTCGAATGATCCATAATGAAAATCGAAAATTGCATGGACTGACTGCTACTTCATAACAAAGAAACGTAGATAATTCAGTGAGTCATTTTACTTTATTTCATCATATTTCCTAGCCAAAAAATAGTGGGTCTTTGGCTTCATTGCAAATGATGGAAAGACGTTATAGTCACTTATGTTCAATTTTTAAATTTAAGTGATTCTGTTTGTGGTTTAAAAAATAAGCAGAAGCAAAATCAGTTCCAATCACCCTCTAAATATGTGTTGATCATGCAAATATTCATGTTTTTTATCTAGTTCTTAGGACATTTGGATTATAGGAAAATTCAACTCTTTAGAAGAAAAACATAACAAGGATTATAACTTCTCCCTCGTCCATCTATGAATTATAAGAGTCTGTTCACTCTATAGGAACCGTTCAAGCTAATTTGACATATGTCATTTAAAATGTCCACAATTTGGTTATAAAATAAAAAAACAACTTGGGTGAATAAATAAAAAGTAGTGTTGGGTTCGGAAAACTAGTAACCATATCAAAATAACAAAAAGTTGTATATAGTACTACATATGAAAAAGTAATTTCAATCGATTTAATCAAAAATAATAATTAAAACTGTATTTATTTTGACTATCATGCAATTCATGTGAAAAATAAAAAATTGTATATTAAACAAAAAATTTACTGAGAAAACTATAAAGAGCACGTTAGGCTTATCAGCTAACTTTTTCACTAAACAGGTAACATTTAATTTCGTGCGTTGAATTGTGTATCAAAAGAAAAAGTAAGGTTGGAATTACTTTTCTGGCTGTATCGGTTGAAGTTATTGTAGATGACCATTTTAGCTATTTTACATATAACTTTTTCTTTATTTTATTAATAAACGATACTTTAAATATACTTTTTTTCATAAATCAGCCAGTTCAGCCACTTCAACTAGAATTTTAGAAATTTGAGCAGAATGAGCAGATTTAGCTGATTTTTGTTCTACCAAATAGGCTCAAACTGAAAATAAAAATTAGTAAATGGACTCATTGTTTTTGTGCGGTAAGAGCACTTATAACAAACATAAATGAAAACGTCCCCAACAGTGGTTACCCTTTTATATTCTAATATGTAATTAATACGTAGTATAAAACTAAGGTCGTTTAGAAAATGAATTGACATAAATAACCGTTCGTTTAGAAAATTAATAATCGTTCGTTTAGAAAAATAATATTTATGTCACAGATAGAAAAATAATATCCTATCATTATAGTATGTTTATTCCAATAACTTTCTAAACGAACGGTTATTTATGGCACCTTATAATAATAAATAGGGAAAATAACTTTAAATAATACAAACTATCTTCGATGAACCAATAATAATACATACTTTAGTGTAGAACAAAAAACAAGATATAATGGAGTCACTTTTTAAAAAAAACCACTAATTTAAGACATTAAAAACTAATATCGAACCAATACATAATATTCGAAAATACGCTTACTAACTTTATATTTTGATACCAGTTTTTTATGAATTAAATGACTAATGTTTTAGTAAAGAATTGCTATGTATTAGTTTTAGTACTATTTATGTTGTTTTCCCTTGCCAAAAAAGTTGTTTTCCTTAATATATAGGATAAAAACAAAAAGGGACGCCTAAAGGTGTGTTTGGGAGTAGGGTTTTGGAGGGGAGGGGAAGGTTAATGGGGGTTTATGACCATCTTTTTCATGTTTGGAAGTTTAAAAAATTGGAGATGTGGTTTTGGAGGGCTTTTGGACGATAATTAACAAGATGGTAGTTTAAGCTAAATTAACAAAATTTGAATTCGTCATATCTCAAAGTGATTTTAATTATAATTCCTTCAAAAACCCCTCTCCTTCCAATTTTATTACTCTCAAATACAAAGAAGAGCTTCCTCACTCTTCTCTTACTTTCCCCTCCAACAGGGTGATTTCTTAATTTACGGGAAAAGCCAACGTTCACTACCAAAACACGGGACTTTGTTTAGGGTTTCTTAATTTACGTTATTCGGAATTGTGTCTTCCTAATGGTTCTTTTACTTGCATCCTCACAATCGAAGTGGGTATTCCACTATTCCAAATAGAGCTTTTTACTGTTTTAGCAAATTCATTCGGATTTTAGCATTCCCACTCATATATTTAGTATATTCACATTTTGTACCACGCGTATTCCATCTTAAGAAAAAGACCATACGTATTCTATTAAAAGAATTAAAAAATAGGTGCTTAATTTTAAAACATTTTTATTAAATGAAATTCGAATTTAATTTATTTAAAAAATGCAAATGTTTTAAAGTTTTTAAAGGAAGGGAAAAAATAAATGTACTTTTATTAATGCGAGATAATAAAAATGTGTTGCCTACAATGCGATCACTCCAGAACTTCATTCAGATTAGACTCGATCAAACAGATCCGATTAAAGTAGACTAAACTTAAACAATAATAAAGCAGACTCCATGAAATTTTATTTGATTAAATTTTATGGGAGTAAATTATCTGATTATATATACACTTGTTATTAAATTAGACTGTTTGATGACACTATTTTTTGGCTTATGAGTCTTATCAGTTAACTTTTTCATCAAATACGTAATTTTTGATTTCACGCGCTAAATTCTGTTATAATAAAAATAAGTAAGGGTGAAGTTACTTTTCTGGTTGAATTGGTTGAAGTTACTGCAAAAGACCATTTTAACTATTTTTCACATATATATTTCTTTATTTTACTAATAAAAAATATTTAAAATATAATTTTTTCATAAAACGACAGAATCCGTTAACACAGCCACATCAACCATGACTTCATAAATTTCAGGAGAACCGGCTATTTTCAGTGTTATCAAACGAGTTTTTAGTCTTGTTAAATAATTTTGAAAACCACGTACTAACAATAGGGCGGGGGGAGTATAAAACAATTGCAAGTAGTAAATAGACCCTTTTCCATGCAGTACATGTAAGGGGAGTTAAGTACTACTTATTGTTTATTGTTGTTATTATTTTATTGAGATTATATCAGATCAGAAAAATTTCAGATCAAACTCAATTTCTTTTTAGATCATATCAGAAAGATTAGATCATATTATAAAATTCATGACCATATTATCAATATTTTTTTATCGAATCAGGTTAGAATAATATTTGTTTATTCTTATTTTATTTTATCAATATTATTTTTATTGTTGTTATTATTTTTATTTTATTTTTGAATATTTAATATTGTTGTTTATAATAACAGCATATCTTTATGGTTGTAGTTGAGTGATATGATTATTTTTATTAAAGCCAAGAATGATAATCCAATCGCAATCATGCTTCCATGGTTTTAATTTACCAACCAAGCAATTCGGAATAGGCCTTTCCGATTGATCTTTTAAATTTTTTTTTTTGAAAACCCTATTCCATTCAGAATACTAAGTTCTGAATGCCGTGTTTTAGTACCAAAAAAACAAACTCCCGTGTTTTTGCACACAAGACACAAAACTCCCGTATTTTTGTCATTCCCTCCCTCCAACAACATACCTCCAAAATCTTCCCTTCTCCTTCACTCCAAACTCCCAAATATACCCTAAGGGAATCGAACCATGCACCTCTGTGAGCTGGAAAATTTTAAATTCAAGCGTGCATCCATTGCTGCGTCGCAGACTTCATGTTCTTAAACAGCTTTCTCCTTACATATACATTGTATTATTAATTTATATAAAATACAAATAATATATATAGGTATTTTTTTGAAAGATCATGGGGGTCCCGGGACCCGTGTGACCTTTAGTGGATCCGCCACTGGTCCCCAACCCACACGGGTAGCTCAGTTGGTCGAGTGGTGGGAAAATTGGACCAAGTGACCAAGGTTCGAAACCTGCAGCGGCCGTGAGAAAGTTACAAAACCAGAAGTAAGGCTGGAATTCTGGTGCGCATGTGTATAAAGCCTACCGCCGCTTTGCTGACAGAGTCACCGTGATTAACCTTCCAACTATCCTGTCAGGTCGGAGTGGGGGACTTGGGGTTGGGCATTCAACCTTTTGGACCAAATGAAAACGCCCCCACTATAATAGGTGTAGACCCCATCATACTGAAAATGAATGTAGACTTTGAAGAAAAACAAGAAGTGGTTGAAAACTTTACTTTTGAGTTAGCGTTTTTCTTAAGATTCTTGCGGTCTTGCCTCGTAATTCGACTCCCCTTTTCAAATTTCAATCATCATTGAAAAAATTAAATGGAAAGGAAAACAGAGATATGATTGTGAAATTTAAAATATTCATGCATATTCATGAAGGGGACTATCTGCCCCACATCTTGGAAAGAAAATACAATTAAGAAAAGGCTTAGTGGGAGTTAGTGGCAAAAGAAGTTGGTGTTTAGCATCATTAATTAGCTAGCTTATTTGATTTAAAAAACCTATTGTGGGTCCCCATGTCATCCATGATTTGAGTATGCACCAATAATGTGATGACGATTTTGCACCATATTATCGCTCATATAGTCATATTATGTGTACGTCTTTACGTCTAATGATTTGAGTAGGCCTCTCAAATCTCAATCGATTGGGCTAAAATGTAGCGTTTCATATTTGTGTTATATTGCTCAAGACTCGATTCATATATGCTGTACGTTTTGAAATCGCGTTTCGGATCCAAATTTTTTATTGAGTCTAGGAACAGAGTCGTGTACCTGTATGTGATTCACAAGAACTTAACTTCAAACTTTCTCAATTAAAAAAACAAAACACCTAAATACAAAATATATAGGTATAGGTACTTTATGAAAACAAGAACTAATATGAGGTTTTTACCTTAATATTACTTAAGTAAAGATAATTTCCAAAAATGTGACCACATTATCATTAGGACAAAAATGTGACTAAGAATGTCATATTAATGTCTTTGTCAGATGTTAATGTCACTATCCAATTTTAATGTCAATATCAAATGTCACTGCCGTCATCGTTGGTGTCACTGTAGCCACCATCCGTGTCACTGTAGTCACCGTCGACGTGTCACTACCACCTTGACCATCTCCGACGGCCAGTTACAGTGACCACCCCCGGCGGCCAGTTACAATGACCACCCCCGGTGGCCAGTTACAATGACCACCCCTGGCGACCAGTTACAGTGATAGTGACCACCGTCGGCGTCGCCAACAACGACAGTGACTTTTGCCAAACCTCCAACCACCAACCGCCGTGACTACAACTGCCCCGCCACTACCCCTGCCCCGCCCTAGCATAACCAACCCCACAGAACCAGAGTTCCAGATCTGTCGTGGCCACCAAAGTCGTCGGTGGCTCCCAAATCCCACGAAGCACGCCACTGGATCAATAGATCTCGCCGCCGGATTAGAAGTTCCTCGCTCCATCTACCAAGCTCGCCGCTGCCGCAGGAGGAAACGATGATAGAGCGAGCGACGGCGGTTTCCAGACTAAAAGAAAGGAAGAGAGGAGAAGGAGAGGAGTTGCGATGGTAGGTTTAGCTGCCGCCGTCATTGCTCTTTGTAGCCGCCGCCGTCAATCGAATAGTCGGTGCATATGAAGATGCGGGTTGGCTAGAACGAGGTTTGGTCGCCATCTTCGTAACAAAATCTGGTCACCATATTCGTCGGACGAAATCCGCCATGGCCAGAGCTGCGGTATTCATCATATGTGAAATAGGGAAGTTGAGGAGATTCAATTTAGGGTTGGGACCAGGGCTATTTGAGACGTTTTATCCTTCGATGTCATATTTTTGTCAATTTCTAAAGTAGTGATATTTTTGTCCTCCCAAAGTGTGTAGATTATAAATTGTTTATGTTATACTCGAATGAGCATAACTATAAAAAGAAATGACCGTGCACAAATGAACGTTTGAGCACACTAGATAATTCAAATGATCTTTTGATTTTTGATTCTCAATTTATAAGTAATGTGTAGTCATTTGGTATAACTCCGTATAAGCATTATGCTAATTCTAAAATGGCGTATCAATGCATATTTTAAAATTATAATATTACACAAGATTCTCATATTGAAATTCCTATGAAGTGATTATAGATATAATTTAAGATTTTTTTTCAAAATGAAAAAAGAAAAACTAAGAATAAGAAAGTGAATTAGAACATATGGGAAAAACAATCATGATACTCAATTGTAGAGTTTCAATGATCGATAAGCAGTCTCAATAATCAATAGTAGAAAACACAATACTCGATGAAAATATTTTGATGATCAAATGAGAATTTGAAATTTTGTATGCTCAATTGCAGAGTTACAATGTTCAATACATATAATCTCGATGATCAATAGTAGAGAACATGCATGATCCTAAATGAAGATGTTTTGATGCTCAAATAGTCAAATGAGCTTTTGAAATTCCGTACACTCAATTAAATAGTTCCAATGCTCAATAGAGAGAGTTTAATTTGATGCTCGATCAATGAAAATGTCTTTATACTCAATTAGCACACCTTACTATTTTCATATCAATGCATATTTTAAAAGTATAATATTAAATGAGATTCACATATTGAAATTCATAGAAGTTGATTATAAATATAGTTTAAGAAATTTTATAATAGAAAAAATAAGAAAAAGAAATTGAATTAGAAAATACAGAGCAAGGATCACGATGATCAATAATATACTCCTAATATTCAATAGAATAGGTCTGATGCTCAATAAAAGTGGATTGATGATCGATTAACAGAAACCGTCATTTTCAACTTAAATTGCAAAAAATGCTACTGATTGTACGGTTCACACTGTGCAATCGGTTGTACAATATAGACTTTGTGGTAAAACCACGATATGCATTTGATTTTTTAAAGTTCAAAATCGATTCGACCTGAACGGATTAAATGACATACATATAAATAAAATTTGAATCTCGCCCAAGAAGAAGCATTTCGCTTCTAACTCCTCCATCGGTTTTTAAAAAGTGATTAAAAACATTAAACTTACTAAATTATCCCTACGATCATCCCTTACCCGGCAAAAGTCGCAGCCTGACCCGGCCACCGGCGCCACCTTCACCAACTACCTGCCGGCCTTCTGCCACTCCTCACTTTTTGTCCACCAAAGACTCCAGAGTCGGTCCTTTTAGTCATTTTTACCCAAAATGTTCGACTAATGAGTTTTGTTGCTTCAACTCAAGTATTTTTAATTAGAATATTTTTAATTGCATTGTTTAATAAGTATTCAATTAATTTAGGTATAAGTATTTAGATTGAGATTTTTTTGCATTAATGTGGGACCTCGACTTTACATTTGGAATTGATGCCTCCAAATTTATCGGATGACTCTGACCTCTGGGTACAGGTAAGAATGACACATTACACATATATGTAAACAAAATTAGAATTATGTGGTTAGTTTTAAATTTACAAAGTATGAATGAATGTGAGCTACATACATGTAACCAAATATGACACAGATATGAGAAAAGGAATACTGAACAAATTAAACGATTGAAACGAGGCAAAAGAATTGGAGAGGAAAGTGTATGATTGAAAGCAGAAAACTAACATACTCCCTTCGGTCCTAAATAAAGTTCACACTTTCCTTTTTGAGTCGGTCCAAAATAAAGTTCACACTTTTTTCCCTTCCTTATTTGGCAAATTATCTACATCAAAACAGTGTCAAACAGTGACAAACGGTGCCTAACAGTGTAATCTACAGTAAAGTCAAATTTATTTCCTTAATTTGTGTGAAGTCAAACATTGAACTTTATTTAGGACCGGATATATATTTAAAATACAGCAAAGGCTACAAAACTGGTATTGTCTTAGCTAGCCATTAATTATAAAATGCTGAAGAAGAAAAACAAGACAAAGAATGAAGATGCATTTGGACAATGAATAATACGGAGTAATAAACAAAAAAAAAGTGTGGAACAGATGGAGCAAACTATAAGTGCATAATTCATCATATTAACAATACAGATTTGTCCCTATTCATGTTATATTTGTTGTCTTAACATAATGTACCCTACATATATCTTGCGGATGAACAAGATAAGAGGACTTGGTTTTTTCTTAATTGATGAAATACTCTAAAATTTGTACTCCCTCCGGTTCTTATTTAAGTTCCCAGTTTGACTTCACACATATTAAGAAAATGAATTTGACTTTACTGTGGAGTGCACTGTTTGACACTGTTTGGACACTGTTTGGACACTGTGTGGCACTGTTTTGCACTGTTTTGTTTCCTAAAATGGAAGTGTGAACTTAAATAAGGGACATCCTAAAAAGGAAAGTGAGAACTTTAATAAGAACCGGAGGGAGTATTTTTTTAATGTGGTGTGGGACATGATATGACACAAAACACAAACATTAAAAGTCTTTCATTCAAAGAGCAAGAAAAGTGAGGTTCCACTACCATCATATAATACTATATTTTCCTAGCTATATCAAAGCCTCAAACGCAATCTCTTATGTGCCTGCCAATTGCTAAAAGCCACAAAGTCAGTGACAAAAATGATTGCATGCTAACTAACCCTTCCCTTGATTAGCCACCATATCTGCTCTCTCATTTCTTACCCATCCATTTCAAACCCTTCTTCCCTCCCTTCTCCTAATCCCCCCACAGATGTCTCAGATCACTATACAGTCTCCCAAACACTGCTCTAAGAGAGAACTTAGCATTCACAAGTGCAAATTCAACAGGAGACTCTTCTCTACTCTACTCACCTTTCTCATCTCTATCCTTTCCCTCATAGTCCTTGTTTGGATAACTCTACACCCCTCGAAGCCCGACTTCTCCCTCACCGCCGTTAATATCGACCAGCTTAACCTCACCGCCTCCCGCCTTCTTTACTCCTCCATCCAGCTCACCCTCCTTTCCAGGAACCCAAACAAGAAAATAGGAATATACTATGATGAAATGCATCTTTTTGCATCTTATAAAGGGCAGCAGATCACAGTTTACAGTTATGTCCCTCCTTTCTATCAAGGGCATGAAGACACCAATCTCGTTTCAGCAGCGTTGACCGGGAGTGGACTTCCTGTGGCCCCCTCTTTTAGCTATGAAGTGGAGAGGGATCAAAGCATTGGGAGGCTTGGGTTGAATGTTAAGGCGGCTGGGAGGCTGAGGTGGAAGGTGGGGACTTGGATTTCTGGGAAATACAGGTTTAATGTTAACTGTGCTGCTATGATGATGCCCCTGGGAGCTTCCATGGGATCAAGTTCTACTAGGCTTGGGCAAGGGAGTCAATGCTCTACTACCCTTTGACCAAGTTGACCACCTCTAATACTTCTTTCTCTTCATTGTCTCATCCAAACATCTCTCATGTCCATACTCCATATAGTGTTATTTTCTGTTTCCTTTCTTTTGTTTTTGTGGTATGGTGATGGTGGGGTGGGGGTGAGGGTGGGGGTGGGGAGCTTTTTTCCTTCCTTTTCTTTTTCTTTTTCTTTGCTCTTATAAAGAATCATGATGTGGTAAGCACCGTTTGGTGTTTGTGTATGCATGAGATTATATGAAAAGTAAGAACAGTAATGGAAAGGATGATAATGGAGTGCAAAACTTATGTCTTATCTTGTGACCCTTCATTATTGCATTCCTATTTGTGTTGGGTGGATACCATTAGTATATGCGCATCACCTTTCCCTCTCATATTTATTTATTTATTTATTTATTTAGTAACCCAATATACGTAGTATGTTCAAAGTGTAATCTCCCGGTAAAAATAGTTGTTGACTTTTGCTATGCTTATTTAATTTAGTAATAAAGGTGAAGAGTAATGTCTGCCTTTTAAAGATTGATGGTTACGTTATGTATAGTCTCAATCTAAATTTGGAGTTATTGAAAAAAACTAACAAAGAAACGTATATATGTTTAGTACAACAACCTTACGTACCTCAATGCCTCAAAGAGTCTTACCCCTATTAGTGCCCTATACTAAAGTGCAAAGAAATTGTTTTCGAATGACTCATGATGAAAATCGAATCAAAAATTGCATGGATTGACTAATTTTTGCATACCAAATTAAAGGAGCATATAGAGGTTTAGTGAGTCGTTTTATTTTATTCGATTATATTCCCAATCTAGCTAAAAAATAGTGAGTCTTTAATTTGGTTCCATTGAAATGATGTAAAACGTCGATATGTTTAGTGAAAAAGATAAATGATTATTGCGCCCCTTTTTATGCATGCAATTAAAATAGTGAATGTTTGACTACATTAGAGATGCACACAACGTAAAATAGTTACAATTTAATACTTCATACGTTGTAGTGCATAGTACTCCCTCCGGTCCTTAATTAACTTTACACTTTCCTTTTTGGATCGTCTCATATTAAACTTTACACTTCCTTATTTGCCTTATTTGGCAAACAAATCTACACAAAAACAATGCAAAAAAGTGTCAAACAGTGTCTAATAGTGTCAAACAGTGTACTCTACAGTAAAGTCAAATTTATTTCCTTAATATGTGTGAAGTCAAAGTGTAAACTTCATTAAGGATCGGAGTATTAAATTAGAAGATACTCACCGAGAGCCCTTTTTAACATGTAAGGTTTTCAATACAAGGACAATTTTGTTACCACTAGAGCACACGTCAGGTGATGGGGTTTTCCGTTAACAATTAACTTCTTTAAAGTTGTATTTTGAATTTCATGCACTCAAATTACTTAGTAATCAAAATAAGTAAAATTTTTGTTACTTTTGTGATTGAATTTTATGAAGATGGTTGTTTAAGCTTTTTCATGTAATTTTGAAAATATAGTACTACAATATATTTGAAAAATAATTTTTATAATTCATCATATTCGGTTGTTTAAATGATATCAAGTCGATTCAGCCAATTTCAACGTTCCAAACAAGTTTAATCTTTCACTTAATGGTGGAGTTAATAGCGCAAAAAAAGTACTTCCACCTTAATTAAATTTTCAAAAAATTTATCAGCATTAGTCTTATCTTTGATCAAGACTATTGCATAAAACAAGCACTTTGTAACATATTAGGAGTAGTTCATAAACTTACATATTCACATTAAATTTCCTCTCTTATACTTCGTATATCCATATGAGCTCATCCCACCCAATGAAATGATACCAATTGAAAGATCTCATATGCCACTAGAAAATTAAGCTGAAACCTAATATTGTGATCGAGCCTCATAAATCTAAAAAACACTAAAAATCAGCAAAGAATTATAAATGAATATGTAAGCCAACATAAAACAGAAACTTTGTTGATATCAGCAAAGAATTATAAATAAATATGTAAGCTAACATAGAAAAAGAAACATTGTTGACGATTCCATATATCCCTAGCATGATATGGTGGGATGATAAAGGTGAAATGCTAGTCACATTTTAGATGTTAATTAGGGATTGTTATTAAATCATCATACACCGACAATATATAAAAAAACAAATCAACACATACTACGCAATTAATTACAAGTATTACTTAAAATGTTTTTACTTGGACTGTTTTTCAGTATCAGATCAGATCAGACTAGATCAGACTTTCATAGTTATAAAATACACAAAAACTATATTGGAATAATGACACACTTGTCCCTTAACACTTTGGTATTCTTGATGTTGTTATAGGTTGATGACAGAAACAACATCCTTGTCGACACTAAATTGGAATAATGACACGTACTTGTCCCTAAGCATTTTTCTTTTGTTACAAAAAGAATCAAACATGGGCTTCCAGTTCGTAAGCATATGAGATTCAAGAACGACCGACCGAATCCAATAAAGACTCAATATTTAGTAGATTCTATGGTAACCATTAGGTAACATACCTTTGTCCACATGGACCAATGAGAATGTAGCAGTTGAATTATTTAAATCTAAATTAAAAATGATAAAGTGATGTGGTCCAATCAAATGAATGGTAGGTACGGTACCCCATTTTTTAGAAAGGTACCGGAATTGTCACCTCTTTATTAATATCCGTATACATTTGACGTCAATAGATGTACTCCTCCCTCCCAACAAGGTTTGACAAATTGACTTTTCTTGGTCAATGACAATCAACTTTGACTGATGATATATTTTAATACGAAATTATTTAGAATATGGAAATTATATCAAAATATTCCTCATTGAAAATATTTTCATAAAAGTATTATAAAATTTATAAATTGTATACAAATATAATAACTAAAATCATTTATCAAAGTTTGCCATCATTGACCAAGAAAAATCAATTTGACAAAGTTTTTCGGGATAGAGGTAGTACAACGTTACTGGCAAATCACTATGCTTTCTAGCCAAATTTGCTTTTCAAATCCACAAGTTAAATTTATCCCTGAACTCTTAGCTTGCTGTGTCAAATTTGGGTAATGTGAGGTGTAATGTTTTCAAAAGGACAAACATGACATATTAACATGACAGTGCCACAAAAAATTAAGTTTTTGCAGATATGAAAACACACCTGAAGCAAAATAAACATCACTGTGAAGAAAAGAAAGCACTAAAGATGTTAGGCCTTGATGGGGCAGGCTGTTAGTTTCAAGCTATTGGTTTTATTTATAAATCAATACTTCAAGATATATGTTACTTCGTATGTGATATATCAAAAGTATGCACTTACACTAACTACATTAGTTTTGGAAAAGCTCCAAATAAAAACAGAAACCATATTTCTCATTGTAAAGTATATGCTCCAAGTCTCCAAATGAAGTTCCAAGTGTGACTCACTAGACAACTTTGTGTGTTAACTTTTTAAAGAAGTCTTCCACTAAAACTCTAAAAGTATGGTAGAGGAAGTGAATATTTAATGCCATAGGCCCATAGTAATGATATAGATAAAAGAATTGTTTACTGTTGAACTATTGACAAACAAACATCTAACTTAACATTGAGACATTTACAAAAAGAAAGCAAGAGCAGTATTGGAGGAAATAATTTCAATTAAAAAAATTAACAGATAGAATTTCGATTAGGGTGAGAATTTTGATCCTGTTTTTGCATGACTAAGCTAGTTCATGGTTTGGCTGTCCTTTTTATATGGCTGCCAGAGCATTCGTCATAATTTTGATCTCACACAAATACTGATCGATTAGACTATCACGGGAAAGTGTAGGAAAAAGTGAGGAGCGGGCAATTTTGATCCAATTTAAACCAATGATGATAATATTCAGGGTTCACAGTTTGACACAGTTTGTGCCATCAAGAATTCTCAATAGACCATATGAGACCAAAAAAGACTCAAAATGAATTCGCCAAGAATTTTCAACAACCAACAACTTGGTGGTAACAATATTAGTGATAGAAGGGGCACTAAAACTTCTACCTTGACCGAGAGAAGAAAACGACATGATTACATGAACAACTGTGATGCCATGAGGCGACGTCCAACAAGGACGACAGAAGAAGGCCATGAGTGCCGGAGAGCGTGGGTCATGTGAATCGTGTTGGAGCGGTTAGTTAGGAACGGAATTGACTTTTCAAAACAAATAATGGGAGATAGACTGAACTAACTTAGTCACAGCCCGATGGGTTTTATTTATAGCTTGTGTACAACACTTATTTCTAACTTTGGTTATTACATCTTAACATCCCCCCTTAATACCAAAGTTAGCAAACAATACATGCAGAAAGAAATAATACAAGCTATCTGTACTAAAGACTAACTACTTGCAATGCTCTTCTAAATTCTTCAAAGCTAGTAGTTTTCAAGGCTTTAGTTAGTCCATCCGCAGTTTGAAGTTCTGTGCTGCAATGCTTCAAACTGATTCTGCCATTCTTCACTTGATCTCTAAGAAAGTGAAATCGAGTCTCTATGTGCTTACTCCTCCCATGAGAGACCGGATTCTTAGCTAGATCAATAGCTGATTTGTTGTCTACAAACAACTCAATCTCAGGAGTAAACTTCTGGTTCAGTTCTTCCAGCAACTGCAATAACCATATGCCCTGGCAAGTAGCACAACATGCTGCAATATATTCAGCTTCGCATGTGGACAATGCCACTACATCCTGTTTAGTTGAGCACCACGATATAGGAGTGTTTTCTAAGAAGAAAACAAAACCCATAGTACTTCTTCTGTCAACTCTATCTCCACACCAGTCTGAATCCGAATATGACACCAGATGCAGCGCACTTTGCTTCTTGTCACCACCCCTACTTTCTTGAGAAAATAATACACCATAATCTGATGTTCCTTTTAGGTACCTTAGTACCCTTTTTGCACCAACCAAGTGAGATTGTCTAGGATCAGCCATGAATCTGCTCACTAATCCTACTCCAAATAAAATCTCAGGACGACTGTGACATAAGAATCTCAAGCACCCAGTTAACTGTCTGTACAAGGTTGCATCCGTTCTGGGTTCTTGCTCACAACTGTCCAACTTCAAGTGTGTCTCCACTGGAGTATCCACTTCTTTGCAAGAGGCCATATTAAACCTCTTCAAAACCTATGACAAATACCTTCTTTGATTCATGAGAATCCCTTGTTTAGTGTGAGTAAACTCAATTCCTAAGAAAAGAGTTAGCTCACCTAAATAAGTCATTTCAAATTCATTCTTCAGTTTGTTCTTGATTGCAACTATTTCAGCCATATCTCTGCCTGTAACCAACAAATCATCAACATAAAAACAGATTATTATAGTTGCATCAGAATTTGTACTTTTCACATACACTCCATGCTCCACAGTGCATTTTTTAAAACCAACACTCGTTAGAAAGGAATCAATCCTTTTGTTCCAGGCCCTAGGAGCTTGTTTTAGGCCATATAAAGCCTTTTTCAACTTTAGTACTTGATGTTCATGACCTTTAACCACAAAACCTGGGGGTTGTTGAATAAACACAGTTTCTTCTAGTGAGCCATTCAG